ATTTGATTATTTGAAAAGATAAAAAAGGTTGAGTGTAATGGCTCAGCCTGTAATTCTAGCACTTTGAGAGGCTAAGGTAGGAGGATTGCTTGAGCCCAGGAGTTCAAAATCGGCCTGGGCAACATAGTGAGACCCCTGTCTCTACAAAAACAAAAATAAGGAAATTATCCAGGTGTGGTGGCACATGCTAGTAGTCCCAGCTATTTGGGAGGATGAGGGGGGAGGATGAGGGGGGAGGATGAGGGGGGAGGATCACTTGGGCCTGGGATATTGAGGCTAGTGAGGCATGACTGTGTCACTGCCCTCCATCCTGAATGACAGAGCGATGCCCTGTCTCAAAAAAAGGTACACAAAACAAAATTAACAGAACTTCAGACTGAAGGGGAAAAAAAGGGAAAGATTACTCAAATTATTAAAATGAGGAATGAAAGAGAGACGTCACTACTGATATTACAGAAAGAAAGCAACTATTAGGGAATAGTGTGAACCTGTATGCAATACATTAGATAACCTAGATGAAATAGACAAATTCCTAGATAAACACAAACTACCAAAGCTAACTCATGAAAAAATAGAATATCTAAATAGATCTACAACAAGTAATTAGATTAAATTAGTAACCAAAAACTTCCCACGAAGAAAAGATCAGGTCCAGATAGCCTCACTGGAAATACTACCAAACTTTGAGAGAAGAATTAACACCATTGTTTCACCCACAAACTCTGCCAGTAAAAAGAAGGAAGACACATTTCTAATTTATTCTATGATGCCATTACAAGATATTACAGTGACATAAGAAAGTAAAACTACAGGTCAGTGTCTCACTGTCATCCAGGCTGGAGTGCAGTAGTGCAACCTCAGCTCACTGCAACCTCCACCTCCTGGGTTCACACAATTCCCCTGCCTCAGTCTCCACAGCTGGGACTACAGGCATTGACCAGCTAATTTTTGTATTTTTAGTAGAGACAGGGTTTTGCCTTGTTGGCCAGGCTGATCTGGAACTCCTGACCTCAAATGATCTGCCTCTCTCAGCCTCCCAAAGTTCTGGGATTACAGGTGTGAGCCACCGAGCCCAGCCCAGTGTCTCTTTTGAATATAGATGCAAAAATCCTCAACAAAATACTAGCAGATTAAATCCAGCAATATATAAAAAGATCAACTGGGATGTATCCCAGAAAGGAAAGGCTGGTTAAAGATATGAATATTAATATAATATACAATATTAATAGAATGAAGGACAAAAACCATATGGTCCTCTCAATAAATGCAGAGTATTTGACAGAATCTTTACCATTTCATGATTAAAAAAAAAAAAAAACAACTCAAAAGTCTAGGAATAGAAGGGAATTTCCTCAACTTGATATCAAAAAGGACAAGTGACAAAACAAAATATTGATAAGTGGACATTGTCAAAATGAAAAACGTGTTTCAAAGGACATTATGAAGAAAGCGAAAAGACAAATCATGGCTTGGGAAAAAATTTGCATCTCGGTTAACTATATGGGACTTGTGTCCAGAATATATAAAGAATTATTATATCTTAATAAAAAGACAACCCAACTAAAATGGACAAATGATTTGATTTTATCGAAAGAAGGGATACAGCTGGCCAATAATCACAAAAATGCTCTACTACCATTAATCATTAGGGAAATGCAAATAAAAACACTTATCCCACCAGATGGCTAAAGAAAGACAATAACAAGTATTGCCAAGGACGTGGCGATATTAGAACGCTTACACACTGTTGGTGAGATGGTAAAACGGTGAAGCCACTTCCTAAAATGTTAAACATAGAATTATTTGTCCCAGTAATTTCTCTCCCATGTTTGTATCCACGATGATTGAAGACATGTATCCACACAAAAACCTTTTTGTGAATGCTCACAGCAGGATTATTCATAACAATAAAAAAGTAGGTAAAACCCAAATGTACATCAACTGATGAAGGAAAAAGAAAATGCATATCCTTGTCTGTGTGCAGTGGCTTATGCCTGCAATCCCAGCACTTTGGGAGGCCGAGGTGGGGCATATCGTGGTCATGAGTTCGAGACCAGCCTGACCAGCATGGTGAAACCCCGTCGCTACTAAAAATACAAGAATTAGGCCAGGTGCAGTGGCTTATGCCTGTAATCCCAGCCTTCTGGGAGGCCGAGGCTGGCGAATCACGAGGTCAGGAGCTTGAGACCAACCTGGCCAACATGGTGAAACCCCGTCTCTACTAAAAATATAAAAAATAAGCTGGATGTGGTAATCCCAGCTGCTCGGGAGGCTGAGGCAGGAGAACCTCTTGAACCCGGAATGCAGTGAACCGAGACTGTGCCACTGCACTCCAGCTGGGGCAACAGTGTGAGACTAACACACACATACACACACACACACACAAAATTAGCCAGGTGTGGTGGTGGGCGCCTGTGATCCCAGCTACTGAGGAGGCTGAGGCAGAACAATTGCTTGAACCTGGAAGGTGGATGTTGCAGTTACCTGAGATTGTTCCACTGCACTCCAGCCTGGGCAATAGAACCAGAATCCTTCTCAAAAAAAGAAGTGGACATGGATGCACTTTGTTTCCTCTCTTAACTACAGGGGCTCCAGCTTTAGCCCAGATGGTTCTTCAGCCATCTGCAAACCCTGCCCCACACCCTTCTAGAACAGGATGCTCCTCCTGCCCCCAGAACTCCACCAAGACTCTGGTTTGGCGGTCTCTAGCATTGGATCCATGTTTTCTTCTTTGCCCATTTCAGTTGCCAGGAATTCTTGCCACTTTGCTGCTGTTTATCAAGCTGGGCTGACACCCAGGGCTGGAGAAGACGGGACACCTGGGCCCACCTGGCTGCTGGAGATTCAGTCTCAGTTTCATTTCTCTGTGGTACCCACTGCTTCTGGGGGAGATTGTTAATAAAAGACCCAGGAAACCCCTGTCCAGCCTGACTCCTTTCTCCTTTTATTTTTGTCGATGATTTTATCTCAGAATGCCTGAATGAGATGCTATGTCTCTCTTTCTCATACAACTTTCCTGTTTAGTAAATTACTCTTGGTGTGTGCAAGGTTTTTTTTTTTTTTTTTTTAAAGAGAGAGTCTTGCTGTGTTGCCCAGGCTGGAGTGCAATGGCATGATCTCAGTTCACTGCGACCTCCACCTTCTAGGTTCAAGCAATTCTGCCTCAGCCTCCTGAGTAGCTGGGATTGCAGGGGCCCACCACCACGCCTGACTAATTTTTGTATTTTTAGTAGAGAGAGAGTTTCACCATGTTGGCCAGGCTGGTCTCAAACTCCTGACCTCGGGTGATCCACCTGCCTCAGCCTCCCAAAGTGCTAGGATTACAGGCATGAGCCACCATGCCCAGCCTGTAAATAACCATCTTCTTCTTGGTGTCATTAACTCCAATTACAGTGAAGACAGCTGCGTACTGCTCATGTATCAACTCAAAATCCTTATATTCAATGAAAGAGCATTGTTCATTGGATTGAGAGTCAGCTCTTTATGACTTGTTTCCAGAAGTATATGCTTATTAATGTCCACATGTTCATAGTACTTAGAAAGTTGAATCTGCCCTTGCTTATTCACCATGAGGAAAAAAAAATTTTTTTGCCCTGGCCAATGTTTTTCCAAATATAGTTCAAAAGTTATGGCAAGGGATGGCTACAACTGAAGCCCGTGCTGCTGGTGAAGTGATGGTCCCTGCGATGGCTTTTCCGGGAGTACCCTTCCCCCTGTCCCGCAGAAACTTCCTCCCAACTCTTTTTTTTTGTAGAGACAGAGACTTGCTCTGTCACCCAGGCTATAGTGCAGTGGCAGGATCTTGGCTCACTGCAGCCTCCGCCTCCTGGGTTCAAGCAGTTCTCCTGCCTCAGCCTCCCAAGTAGTTGGGATTACAAGCACCTGCCACGGCGCCTGGCCTGGCTAAGTTTTCTTTTCTTTTTGAGACAAGGT